ATAATAAAACAACGAATCAGCGAACACCTAGAGGCAAACAAAGTCATTACTAAAAGCCAACATGGGTTTGTCAAAAACAGATCATGCCAGACAAACCTTATTACATTCTTTGACCAAGTGACAAAATTAGTGGATCAGAGGAATGCTGTGGATATAATTTACTTGGACTTCAGTAAGGCATTTGATAAAGTAGATCACATCCTACTACTTGATAAGATAGAAAAATGTGGGTTAGACAGCATCGCCACCAGATGGATCCGTAGCTGGCTGACCAGCCGTACTCAGCGTGTGGTCCTCAATGGAACCGCATCTACATGGAGGGAAGTGTGTAGTGGGATGCCTCAGGGCTCTGTTCTGGGCCCAGTGCTCTTCAACATCTTCATCAACGATTTGGACGAGGGGATAGATGGGGAAATCATCAAATTTGCAGACAACACCAAGCTGGAAGGAATAGCCAACACTCCAGAAGACAGGCTTAGGATACAGGAGGATCTGGACAGACTTGAACACTGGGCGCTATCTAAAAAATGAAATTCAATGGCGAAAAAAGTAAGGTTCTACATTTAGGCAAGAAAAACCAAATGTATAGGTATAGTATAGGGCAGGGCTTTTCAACCAGTGGTACGGGTACCACCTGTGGTACATTGGCACCTGGCAGGTGGTACGCGACCATCCTAGAAAAGTGGTAGCGGGGGAGGGAAATGAGCTGAACTGGTGGCAGCACTGAACAAGCCTGAGCGAGAGATGGCTGGAACTGCAGGGCTGCCAGGGCTCAGTGGAAGCGCCAGGATCAGTGCCACTTTCCAGCTGATCGACGCTTCTTCGGGGCTGTCAGGGCTCAGTGGAAGCACCAGGATCAGTGCCAGGTTCCAGCTGGAGCTCGGCGCTGATCCTGGTGCCTCTGCTGAGCCCTGAAGAAGCACCAATCAGCTGGAAAGCAGCACTGATCCTGGCGCTTCTGCTGAGCCCAGAAGAAGCACTGATCAGCTGGAATGTTGCAGCATCTCCAGGGTCTTGTGATTTACATTCAGATGCTTGGCAACTGATTCATATTTATGATGGTCACAGTGTCCCAGGGTCATGTGAAGTGACCAAAACCTGCTGCAACCACCCAGCAGATGGAGGGAATAAAAACCAAACACCCCCCACCCCACCTCTGCTGCCAATCCTCAACAGAAATGCTCACAACAATGAAAACATTGGACAGGAGGAAGAATGCCACTGGGCGGGCAGGCAGGTGTCTTGCTCGGCTGTGGCTTGGGGGGCACTTTTTTCAGTGCCATTGTAACTTCGAACAGTCATTAAGTGAACTGTTGTAAGTCAAGGACTACCTGTACTTTATCATTTTTTCCTTTTTTTTTTTTGGTCATCAAGTTTTTGACACCTTGCTAGGCGACTGGTGGTACTCGGATATTGCCATATCCTAAAAGTGGTACAATGGGTGAAAATGTTGAAAAGCCCTGGTATAGGGGGTACCTTGCTCAATAGTAGTAACTGTGAGAGGGAACTCAGAGTCCTAGTGGACAATCACTTAAATATGAGCCAGCAGTGTGCTGCAGCTGCCAAAAAGGCCAACACAGTGCTAGGCTGCATTAACAGAGGGATAGAATCAAGATCACGTGAAGTATTAATACCACTTTACAATGCCTTAGTAAGGCCACACTTGAAACACTGCATCCAGTTTTGGTCACCACATTGTAAAAAAGATGTTGAGACTCTAGAAAGAGTACAGAGAAGAGCAACAAAGATGATTAGGGGACTGGAGGCTACAGCATATAAGGAAAGGTTGCTGGAATTGGGTATGTCTAGTTTAATGAAGAGAAGGACGAGGGGGGACACGATAGCAGTGTTCCAATATCTCAGGGGCTGCCACAAAGAAGCTATTTTCCAAGGCGCCTGAAGGCAGGACAAGAAGCAACAGGTGGAAACTAATCAAGGAGAGAAGCAATCTAGAACTAAGGAGAAACTTCCTGACAGTTAGAACAATTAACCAGTGGAACAACCTGCCTCCAGAAGCGGTGAATGCTCCAACACTGGAAGTTTTTAAGAAGAGACTGGACAGCCATTTGTCTGAAATGGTATAGGGTTTCCTGCCTGAGCAAGGGGTTGGACTAGATGACCTCCAAGGTCCCTTCCAACATCATCATCATCATCATTATTATTATTACTACAAAAAGCAAGAAAGCAACACTTAGACTAAACAATTTCCTTTTGTTCCAGAACCCTTCAATATCTTCACGGATAAAGTTACAGAACTCCCCCATTTCTCTGAGCAATTGATCTGTTACAGAATATAAATGTTTTCATTGTTTGGCAGAAGAATACATAGCCAAGTTACCATGGCAAGTTAGTTAACAATTCACTATACTGTAGTCACAATCCAGGAATGTCACTGTTTCCATGGAAAGACTCAGAAACAGTATACAGGTAGTCCTCAACCTCTGACCACAACTGAGCCTGAATTTCGGTTGCTAAGCAAGACATTGTTGTGAATTTTATGACCTTTCTTGCCACAGTTTTCAAGTGAATCCCTGCAATTGTTAACTTGGTTAAATGAATCTGGCTTCTCCATTGACTTTGCTTGTCAGAAGGTCACAAAAGGTGATCATATGACCATGAGACACTGCAACTGTCATAAATACATGCCAAGTGGCCAAATTCTGATCACGTGACCATAGGGATGCTGCAACGGTGGTATGAAAAAAATCACAGGTCACCTTTTTCAGTGTTGTTGTAACTTTGAATGGTCACTAAACTAATGATTATAAGTCAAAGACTACCTGCATATTATGGAATTATACTGCAAGTTTTATAATATGCATGTGATTATATGTGCATTAAAAATAGGACAACAGTGAGATGAACTTTCTTATCACTGTTGCATTTATGTAGCACAAAATAATTTACATATATATTTTAATTGAACTAATATGGTAGATTAGCAAAGTTTGATATAAATAGATCATTTTTCTGCAGACAGAAAAATATTCAGCACCTCTTGAAGCTATATCTTTTTCTTTGCCATGTACTAGGTAGTTCCTACATCATTATGTCTTTCCTAGAATCCGTCTTTCACTTTTTTAACATTTGAAATAAAATTTATTTCTGTAACTAATATTTCTTATTTTTTCCAAATTTACTATAAACATACACAATTACTAAATACTTGTAAAACTAGATTGCTGTGCCTTTACTTTTATCTAGCTCTAGCTGGACACCTTTTTCTTCCAACTGTTAACAGAGAAAAAGAAGAAATCCAAGCAATAAATTGATAGTAGGATGTCTACTAGTGACTTAGTGTATTTTACTGTGATGCAATATAAAGCCTATCATCCTTATTGTTATTTTGCTGATGATTGGAAAACTAGAAGATTCTATAAATTGTTAGTGGCAATTCTAACGCTACTTGTCTTTCCTCTATGAGTCTGAAATCTGATAATAATGCCTAAGTTTATTTAAAATAAGATTAAAAAACTAGGACTACTAACGACTATTAATAGAAGAAGATACTTTTTCCCACAAGTCTCAATTGGAAAGAAGTGTGAAGCCACTAACTTGGATGGCTTTAAAGGGGGATTGGATAAATTCATGGAGGGCAGATCTTTCAAGTGTTAATCTTTTAGACTTAATGTGACCTTTCTGGGTTGGGCAGCACACCTCCAAATACAGTATGAGCGAGCATATGGAAGTAAACAGTGAAAACGTCAGAACAATACAATACAGAAGAAACTGTAGTAAATACATTTAAAATTGTCCTATATTTCATGAGCATTTATAGCATTACAATCATCTCCAATCCTCCTGAGAAATTTCAGACTCCTGGTTTGCATCATTAGATGCAAAAATATAGTCTTGAGATTCATGGTGTGCGTGGGTATATATATAAAGCTATCTTTAGAGAAGGGCAGATGATGGATCAGATTTTGGTTAGCACGTAGTGGTTATTTTATTCATCATTGCTGCATTTTAGCACTGTGAGTGGGAGTGACATTTTCTGCTCTCTTACCAAACAACCCACCTGCTTTGGGGTATTATACATTTTTGCATAAGCGCATCAGGCATTTGTTACTCCATCTCAAGTAACTCTCTTTCGGATATACTTGTTTCATATTTTTGGTTCCTCCCACAGCTAGTGGAATGGGGCAGGGCACCAATAACAAACACACCGTGGGTGCGTGGGTGCTCCTGCAGAAAAAAAAAATCCATCAGAAGGTCATGTTTGCCCCAGTACATAAGGGGGTTTGTGTTTGGAGGTCCTCTGCTTAGCCTTAGGCCTGCTCCGAGAGCACCAAGATGCAATTCTCTCTGTCTCTCCTATTCAGCTGCTTTAACAGTCCCAGAAGTCTGGAGCGAAAGCAAGCCATACCAAGCTCCCCCCCCCCCCACGACATGAAGCAGCTCCCTGGGCCAGAGAAGGCGGGCCTGGCTGCGCATAGACCGACCCCCTTTTGCAGGCCTAACTCGCTCCTTCCCTCGCGTTCGTTTCTATAAGAGGAGGAGGAGGGAGCGATGCTGCTGCTGGGGATAGTTATGCCAGGCGGGAAGGCGGGCGGCGGAGGGAGGAGAAGGAGGAGGAGCAGCAAGAGCAGTAGCGAGAGGACCGCACTTAGCTCCAGCCGCAAGGAGCAATGCTGCACCGCGGAGCAGGATCCTGGTTCCAGTCCCAGAGCAAACCCAGCGGAGCGGCTCTTACCACCCTCTTGCTGACAGGTTGGTCTTTGCGGAGCCCCTGCTTGGGCCCAGCCTTCCCGCTTAGATGGCGCATCCTCCTTCGGACACGGCCTGCCACACCGTTGCTTCTCATGCCCGACCCTTGTCAAGCGGCGGTGGGGGTGTCCCTCCTCGTCTCTGCCTTGATGCCAGCCTTCTGCCGCTGCGCCTGCTGCAGCGGCTCGCTGTTTTTCCCGCACGAACGGATGCCCGCCCTTCCTGAAGCAGCTGCCCCGGGAGGGTTCAAAAAAAAAAATTGCGGGCAAGAAAGGAGGGAGCAGTTGGGATAGTTGCCTGCAAAAGGCATTGCCTTCCCTGGCCAGATGCCATTATCTTCCCTCTTTCATAACACTAGGGCATATTATAGAAAAATGTTTTTTAAAGATGTATTACTGGTGTTTTTTACAATAATGGAAAAACACACAAACATGACCGGATTACTGTATAGAAGAATATATTTAAGAATCAACCTTATGTAGAATGATAACACCTGGTGTGTTTAAAGTATATGCAGAAGCTCCAATAATTTTTGTAATCTTACATTTAAAAAAAAATGGGATGGGAAATGCGCTTTTTTTTTAAAAAAAAAATAACTTAATATGTATGCAGAAGTGTTATAATCGCCCCACTTCCCCCCCCCCCATATAGTTCTAAACTGTGTGAATTCTGATTGTGTTTTGTAAAGGCTGATGGATAGAGAGGCTGCTTTCCTCTTTTGCAGATCAGACAGCCCATTAACAAAGCTTTTTATCATTCCTGAACTCGGAATAGCAGGCACATTTTTCCATTCTTGGTTATGTGGATACAAGCTGAGCATTACCAGCAAATGGAGAGGAAAGTATCCTGCTAACCAAAAAAGGAAAACATGTGTACATGCTTGTCTAAGGAAACGAAAACAGAGGACAAGACCTCCATAAAAAATAAATGTTGGATAGAGTAAATTCAGAATAACAACAACCTCAAATATTGGGTTTATTGGCTTTTTTTGCTCCTCCCCCCATGGTTAATATTCACATTCTAATAATATATGATGAATGCTGTATTCATGATTAAGTAACTGCCTTTAACATTATGATAAGAGAACTAAGGATACATAGTGTTAACTATTAAAGTAAAAGAAAAAATATAAAGTGGTATATGCACTTTTGACATTTATTGCCTGTTTTTTCAGGTACTAAGAACCAGTGGTCCATGCTATTCAGTGCTGGCTAAACTACAGCTCTCTAGGGATGTTGTTCTACCATAACTGATATACAAGGCATGTGCTATATCTTCCTCAGTGAATCAAATGTCTTCTTTTTTAATTGTAATGTTATTAAAAACTTAAAATTACAATAGTAAACTAATACAAACTAAAAAAAGAATAAAATGAAAAAATAGAAGATGCAGTAATAAAAAATAAATAAATAGGAAAAGAATTAAGAAAAAGAAATGTATAAAGAATTTACTTTCCCCCTTAAACAAGTATGAACAATTTTAGTATCTTAACACCTTCTCTTAAAATACAACAAATGGTCTCTTAGCATATTCTAAATCATTCTTTAAAACCCCTCATTTCAGTCTTGATGTCAGCAAAAGTTCATTAAAAGTCAGTAGAGAGGTAATAACATACCTATTTTAATTTTTATCAAGTACACCAACTTTATATTCCTTTCTTTTTACTTTTAACAATCTTGGTTTTTAGTTTCCTCAAATGATGTTGTAGAATTAGATTTATTTTCATTTTTTCTTTGTTCCATCTCATAACATTTTTCAAAGCATTAACAAACACCTTTTGTAAATCTAATATAGAAAAATGATCCAGATTTCTCTGCTGGATTGTTACTTGTGTATCTCTTTTAATTATTAAAACAGTGACTGGTTTTTTTTGTATGTCATTTTTAAATTCATTTTCAGATCAGTCTCAATCTTGAAAGGCAAAATATGTTGTTCCATGGCATTTTAAATACAGTCCATTAGAGTGACAGACACTTTTAAAATTAACTTCTGAGTCCATTGTTCAAAAATATTCTTCAGTATGACCAATGTTAAAATATTTTGCTTCATGCTGTATCTTTAAGTTGAATCTAAGCGTTCTTCTTTAACTGCAGTCTTTGGTTCCTTTTATTTCCCTCTAGCATTCAACTCAAAGACCCATTCTATCAATTTTTTTCTAAAAGAATTCAGAACAAAAGCATTTTCCTGTGGGAATGATCCTTAAATTTAATTCCAAAATCTTATTTCAAATCCATTTTGAGCCTTAATCCATTTGTAACTTTCCAAAATCAAAGTTCTAAGTCTCCTTTTGCTATTTTATTAAAAAAAATAAGTCCTTAAAGTTGTATTTAAAACTTCTTTCACTAACAATTGAAGATTGTTTGATGAGAGCTTTATGTATTACACCTATTTGTTTTAATAAAATTTTTATTGATTTTTATAATTAAACAACAAAGATTATGATGCATTTACGTACATAAACAAAAAAGAAAAAATAATCCAAATCAATACATTTTCGGAGACGCTCGGCAGTCCCCGCCATGCCTCCACCCTCATCCACTTTCCTTTCCTTCCTCCCTCTGACCCCCAACCTCTCCACCTTCCTCCTTACCACCTACCTACATCCCCTCTCCTTTCTTACCATTTCCTCGAGTGCAATTTGGGATACCAGCCGAGCATCTCCTCTTATCAATACAATAAGTATTTATCTATAAAATGTAAATACATCAATTTTTATAATTCCCCTGATCCCCTACCCCCCCTGAACTTCCCGGAACCCAATACAGGACTAACACTCATTCCATTCCATATCTAAATTACAATTTAACTAAACAAAGATAATACAATCAGTATATACATACTTTAACTCTAATAATGCAATAAGTAACAACAATACAACTCATCAAAAACTATATGATATTTGTATAATTTATCCACCTTCAACATTTAAACTCAAAACAATTTTTTAAAACCTAAATATCTATCAAACATTTTATATACATTTTTTCTTACATTTTACTCTTAAATTTTTCCTACACTTTCTTCACTCTCAAATCAATACTTTCAGCAAAGATCTTAAGTCAATACTCTTCATAGCTGGAAAAATAATTTACTTTATCAAATATTTTAAGACTTTCAAAATACTATAAGTTCTTTACAGACATATAATTAAATATTAAACTAATTTCTTCCTGTTCCATAATAAAATCTCACTTCCAGCATCATCAATTTAACCATCCTTTGGCTTATGAAGCTTGTTCAGCATTCCCTGCAAGTCTATTGTTGCAGATCTCTTTGGCCTCGCCCCTCCCACTGATTCTGAAGTCGGTGGATATATTACAGTTTCCTTTTGTTGTTGTTCTCTTTCTTTACGCCTATAAGCAGCACGAGTCATCCTTTGCTCCTTTGCATTCACTCCCACCTTTTGTTGAATCTGAGAATCTCCTGCAGATAATGACATGGCCCCAGACAGTTCCACAACAAGTTGCTCCATCAAATCTTCCTGTGCTTTAGATGTTGATGATGATGACAAATCAGCTTTCAGGACTGACAAAAAAAAAATCTCTGGTTTTCTGTACAGAGTTTAACCTGTATCTGGTCCCTTCAAAATTTACCACAATGCCCATAGGAATCTCCCATCTAAAAGGCATCTGCCGCTTCTTTAACTCCTGAGCCAAAAAAGTAAAGTCTTTTCTTCTTCTTAAAATCTTAGAAGGTATTTCTTTTAAAAGTATAATGTCTTGTGCAGCAATTTGAAATCTCTGCTGGTAAAAGAGCTGTATAATTTCATTACAACGTACTCTTGTGGTGAAGTAAACAACCACATCTCTAGGTATATTTCTCTGACGTGCAACCCAGGAATTGACTCTATAATTTTTTTCTGTTTCTCCACAGATCACCTCAGGGTTGCAATTCAATACCAGGGCCAAAGCTGTAACAATTTCCTCCTTAAGTTTCTCTTGTAAATCCTCTTTAAGCCCCCTGATTCTCAGGGCAAATTCCATTTCTTTAAATTGTGACATCATGTCATTTTGTAAGTTCTCCACACCTTCTTCTACTTTCTCAAGTCTGTCCTCTGTTCCTTCCATTTTCTCCACTAAGTCATCCACCCTTCCCTCTATACGATCAATATGAATTGCTAGTCCTTCAAAAATATGTGATATATTTTCACAAAGTTCCTGATTTTTCTTATCCAAAAGTTCTTCTGTTTGTTTCACAGTTTGTAATGAGGACTTAGCTAAAGCCTCTTGCAAATCTTTGAGTGTAATGGAGGGAGGTGGTGATGGTGGGGGAGATCTAGGTTTTTGTTGTTGAATTTGCAAAACAGGAGAGGAGATAGCTGTTTTAGGCAATGCAGAAACTCCAGTACGTTTTGTAGCCATTCTGCCAAATTATTTTTATTTTTATTTATTTTTATTTTTAAAACTCACAAGAGCAAAAATTAACTTAAAAAAGCTTGACTTAAGAAAAGTTCTTTAAAATCCTTTAAAATGCATCATTCCACCACCGGAAAGAAAGTGAAAGTTTTCCTTTTGTTACAAAGAAACAACGCTTCCGCGGCCATTTTCTTCTCACTTTCACTTATAACAAATAGTGAAAATCCCAATAAGATCTTTGAGTTAAAGTCACCATTTAACTAAAGCAGAAAAAAAAATCCCCTGTCAGGTTCCGTCTGTTCAAAAGTTACTCACAAGCAGATACAAAGTAGCAGCAGTGGCAGCGACGTCTAGCCTCGCTCCGAAGAGCGAAGACACTCCGAGCTGTGGAGAAGAGGTCCAGACTCCGGGGGAGTTCATACCTACATCCCCCCAGGATCATTCCTGGGGGGACTAGAGAACTCTACCCCTATCTGAACCAAACTCATTCTCTCCCCTTCGCCCGGGGAGAGAGTTCCAAGCCGCAAAACAGCTGATCCGCGCTGTTTTGACAGCTCTGACGCAGTCCCGGGCGGGAGGCTGAGAAGAAAGCCTCCATTGGCAAAGCCTCGCCACCGGAAGCCGTATTACACTTATTTTTCAGCAAGC